TTTTACCAAATGCTTTTTCTACATCTGTTGAGATGATCATATGATCTTTGTTTTTGCTTCTATTTATGTTGTGAGTCTATAATATTATATATTCTTAAGCATAAAAAGCAATTTAAATAAAAATAAGTATAATACATTAAAAAAGTTTGATACACAGATATGTATGTATTTGTGTTGTAAATACATTTTTGTGAGTGCAAAGTAAAACATCTGGGATGATATGCATACCAATCTGTGTGTGGTCTCTATCTCCTCAGCAAAATAGGAAACTAGGTTGTCTGTTGAGAATGAGAGCAGCTGTTCCAAATATTTTCCATTTGAGGAGAATAGTTCTGGCTTGAAATCGTGTTGTAGGGAATAAGAGATGCAATTGACTCTACATTGCCAAACCTTACTGAAGGCTCAAAATGGTAACTGAGCCAATTGTCAAGGTCATTCCATTTTCTCCAGCAAGACTAGTATGTGGAGAAGGAAGAAATAGCTAGCAATTAAGCACCTTCCATGACCGAGGCTGTTTGGGCACTTCACACTAAGCCAAATAATTAAAACTTTCCAACTGTAAGTTCACATTGATAATAATACCCCATTTTGCACATTGGACCACCTAGTCCAAGATCATACAATAAGAGAGTGATAGAATTCCAAAGCCCCTGACTAGTGTACCTTCCAGGCTTTCTCCCCACTTTCTGCTGGTGGGGGTGCTACTCTCTGGGATGGCAGAGCTGCCAGATGGAAGGTGTTTGGATCTCTGGATGACCTCATGAACAAAGTTTTTCTAGCCCTAAACCATCTATCAGCTCAGACTTTTATATAAGAGAAAAGCAACCAAGTGGGCTTCATCCCAGAGATGCAGGGATGGTTCAATGCAAATCTATAAATGTAATTCACCACATAAATAGACGTAAAAACAAAGACCATATGATTCTCTTAATAGATGTAGAAAATGCATTCGACAAAATTCAGCACTCTTTTATGATAAGAATGTTTAACAAAACAGGCATAGAAGGGACTTACCTAAAAATGATAAAAGCCATATATGACAAACCCACAGCCAACATCATAATCAACAGGGAAATACTGAAAGCATTCCCACTTAGAATTAGAAACAGACAAGGTTGCCCTCTATCACCACTTACATTTAACATAGTGCTAGAAGTCCTAGCCAGAGCAATCAGAAAACAGAAGGAAATCAAGGGCATCCGAATGGGGGCAGAAGATGTCAAACTATTGCTCTTTGCTGACATCATGGTCCTATACCTAGAAAACCCCAAAGATTCTGCCATGAGACTCCTGGAATTGATAAATGAATTCAGCAAAGTCTCAGGTTACAAAATCAATGTACACAGATCAGTAGCATTCCTATATGCCAACAACAGTCAAACTGAGAACCAAATCAAAGACTCAATATCCTTCACAATAGCAACAAAGAAAGTAAAATACCTAGGAATATATTTAACTAAGGAGGTGAAAGACCTCTGCAGGGAGAAATACAAAACGCTGAGGAAGGAAGTAGCAGAGGATGTAAATAGGTGGAAAACCATACCATGCTCGTGTGTCAGCAGATCAACATTGTTAAAATGTCTATACTACCCAAAGTGATCTACAGAGTCAATGTAATCCCTATTAAAATACCAACATCATTTTTCGCAGATCTGGAAAAAATAATTTATGCTTCTTATGGAACCAGAGAAGACCCTGGATAGCAAAAGCAATCTTAAGCAAAAAGAACAAACTGTGAGGCATCAATTTGCCAGACTTTGAGCTATACTACAAAGCTATGGTAACTAAAACAGCATGGGACTGGCAGAAGAACAGAGACAGAGACCAATGGAACAGAACTGAGAACCCACATATAAAACCATCCTCATATAGCCATCTGATCTTTGACAAAGCAGACAAAAACATACACTGGGGAAAAGAATCCTTATTCAATAAATGGTGCTGGGAAAATTGGACAGCCCCATGTAGAAGACTGAAACCGCACCTCTCACCTCTCACAAAAATCAACTCACAAGGGATAACAGACTTAAACCTAAGGCACAAAAGTATAAGAATTCTAGAAGAAAATGTTGGAAAAACTCTTATAGACATCAGCCTAGGGAAAGAATTTATGAAGAAGACCCCAAAGGCAATCACAGCAACAACAAAAATAAATAAATGGAACCTGATCAAATTAAAAAGCTTTTGCACACCCAAGGAAATCATCATGAGAGCAAACAGACAACCTACAGAATGGGAGAAAATATTCACATGCTACACATCCAATAAAGGACTGATAACTAGAATCAACATAGAACTCAGGAAAATGAAGAAGGAAAAAAATCAAACAACTCCATTAAAAACTGGGCAAAGGACATGAACAGAAACTTTTCAAAAGAAGACAGACTAATGGCCAACAAATATATGAAAAAATGCTCAACATCTCTAATCATCAGGGAAATGCACATCAAAACCACAAAGAGATAGCACTTAACTCCAGTGAGAATGGTTTGTATCAAAAAGCCCCAAAACAACAAATGCTGGCATGGTTGTGGAGAGATGGAACACTCATATACTGCTGGTGGGATTCAAACTAGTACAACCTCTATGGAAAGTAATATGGAGATACCTCAAAGAGTTAAAACTAGAACTATCATTTGATCCAGCAATCCCATTACTGGGCATCTACCCAAAGGAAAAAAAGACAGTCTACAAAAAGGAAATCTGCACTCGAATGTTGATAGCAGCACAATTCATAATTGCAAAGATGTGGAAACAACCCAAGTGCTCATCAGCACATGAGTGGATTAATAGAATGTGGTATATGTATACCACGGAGTTCTACTCAGCCACAAAAAACAGTGGTGATCTAGCACCTCTTGTATTATCCTGGATAGAACTTGAGCCCATTCTACTAAGTGAAGTATCACAAGAATGGAAAAACAAGCACCACATGTACTCACCATCAAATTGGTATTAACTGATCAACACTTATGTGCACATATAATAATAACATTCATTGAGTTTTGGGTAGGTGGGGACAGGAGGAGGGGATGGGTATATTCACACCTAATGGGTGCGTTTTGCACCGTCAGGGGGATGGACATGCTTGAAGCTCTGACTCGGGTGGGGCAAAGGCAACATATGTAACCAAAACATTTGTACTTCCATACTATGCTGAAATAATAATAATAATAAAAAAAAGAGTAGAGGAAGGGACACCATTTAGGATGCCACTGTAGTCATCCAGGTGAGAGATGTTGGTGGCTTTGACTGCCATGGCAGTGAGATGGGGAAAGGGTATAGATGCCAGGTACAGTCATGGGCCACACAATGTCATTCAGTCAATGCCAAACTGCACAGATGATGGTGGTCCCAGAAGATTATAGTGGAACTGAAAAACTCCTATCACCTAGTGATGCCATAGCCATGGGAAGATGACAGGGCAATACATGCTCACGTGTTTGTGGTGATGCTGGTGTAAACAAACCTACTGTGCTGCCAGTGAGATAAAAGAATAGCACATACAATCATGTACGGTGCATAATACTTGATAATATATGACTATGTTACTGGCTTATGTATGTACTATACTTTTTTTTTTTTTTTTGAGACAGAGTCTCGCTCTGTTGCCCGGGCTAGAGTGAGTGCCGTGGCGTTATCCTAGCTCATAGGAACCTCACACTCCTGGGCTCAAGCGATCCTTCTGCCTCAGCCTCCTGAGTAGCTGGGACTACAGGCATGCGCCACCATGCCCGGCTAATTTTTTGTATATATTTTTAGTTGTTTGATTAATTTCTTTCTATTTTTAGTAGAGACAGGGTCTCGCTCTTGCTCGGGCTGGTTCTGAACCCCTGAGCTCAAACGATCCGCCCGCCTCGGCCTCCCAGAGTGCTAGGATTACAGACAATGAGCCACCGCGCCCGGCCTATACTATACTTTTTATCATTATTTTAGAGGGCACTCATTCTACCTATTTAAAAAAAAGTTAACTGGAAAACAGCCTCAGACAGGTCCTTCAGGAGGTATTTGAGAAGACACTGTTATCAGAGGAGATGACAGTTCCTTGCATGTTACTGTCCCTGAAGACCCCCCACTGGGACGAGATTATAGAGCTAAACAGTGACATTGATGGGCCTGACTCTGTGTAGGCCTAGGCTAACGTGTGTGTTTATGTCTCAGTTTTTAACAAAAAAGTATAAAAAGTAAAAACTAAATAATTGTAAAATTAGAAAAAAACTAATAGAATAAGGATATAAAAATATTTTTGTACAGCTCTACAGGTATTTGTGTTTTAAGCTAAGTGTTATTACAAAAGAGTCAAAACATTGAAAAAATAAAAAGTTGATAAATTTTAAAAGTTCAAAAAAAAGAGAAAAGGAAACTCTACTCTTATTTAAGCCCCACAAAAATATAAAAGTTTATTTTATTATCTGCTAAAACACTGTGCCAGTATCTTAATCAAAATAGTTTCTAATCAGAGGAATAAAGCATTGAAAACATTAGGAAGATTTAATCTGTAAAGCCAAATGAAATATTACTGGGCTTGACCAACTTTGTATATAGAGGAAGAAATATCTATTTTCACTGCTACCCTTTTTTCCTTTCAGGGTGGTTTTTCTTTACTTAACAACCAAATAATTTGTAATTTTAAATAGTACATATTAACTGATAATTCAGTAGAATATATACTATTGAGGATGGCACTAAGGAAATCATAATCTTTTTCTTTCTTCTTTTTTTTTTTTTGAGACAGGGTCCCTCTGTCTTGCCGGGCTAGAGTGCAGTGGCCTGATCATAGCTCACAGAAACCTCAAACTCCTGGGCTCAGGTGATCCTCCTCAGCCTCCCGTGTAGCTGGGAATACAGGTGTGCTCCCCCATGCCCAGCTAATTTCATAATTTAACAGGAAACTGTCAATTATGAGAGGTGACAGACACCAGAAACAGTTCCATTTTCAGGCAGTTATAGTCAGGACTGGGGCGGGAGAGAGGTGTGCTGCCCTAGGGCGGGGCCGGTACCTCTTTCCGTCATCACAGTTGGAGTCAGAGCTGTTGTGGTGTCCACAAGCTGCATGACGCTGCTGCGTCCTCACAGCATGACCCATGCAACGTCCAGGACACTGGAACAAAAGCACAACACAGTGTAAACCTGTGAGCTCACGCATGCTGTGCATCCTAAGATCACGTACCGAAGCAGGATAGCCGAAGACCAGTTACAAGGGGACCACCTGTTACGGGATCAGAGTGCAGCTCTGTGGACCAGACACCCCTCCTTCAGAGCAGCAAGATGCCTAAGCTTCCCCTCCCTTCCTTTCCACCCCTGAAACTTAGACCACCTCTGGGGAAAGGACTGGGAAAATCTTGAAGCGACTGGGCTTAAGTCCGGAAATGACTGCGCTTAAAACCATAAGTAACTGCCAAATTTGGGTATTTCTGTTGTGAGCAAAAATGAAGGCTTGTATGCTAAGGTAAGTTTAATGACAGGGAAAAAAATAAAAATTTTTGACATGCAGTCCTTAAATTTTTACTAGTCATAATAATGTCTATTGATTTCCTTATAATTTATTTTATACTTGAAAAAGTCTTTCCCATCATGATAGTTCTATTTGTGTTTAATAACTTATATATTTAGCTCTTTAATCGAGTCATAATTTATTTTGATGTATACTCTGAGTTTGGGCTCTGATTTTACTTATTTTTCTTTTATTAGTAAGAAGCTTTATTGAGTCATAATTCACAAACCATACAATTCACTATTTAATGTACAGTTTAATGGTGTTTTGAGTTGCATGATCTTTACCACAATCAATTTTAGAGCATTATCATCATGCCCGAAAGAAACCCCCTACCTTTAGCAGTCACTCCTAATTCCTCCTGTCACCTCTCCCAACAGGCCAAGGCAACCACTAATCTACTTTTGTCTCTGCAGATTCACCCATCCTGGACACCGTGGATAAATGGTGTCACCCCATATGTGGTCCTTTGTGTCCGTCATCCTTCACTTACCACAGCATCGTCAAGGTTTAGTGATGTTGGAGTGTGTACCAGTACTGCGTTCCTCTAAGTGGCCAAACAACATCCCACAGTGCAAACATGCCACGGTTTATCTCCTCGTCAGTTGCTTCCTCTTTTTGGTTATTAGGGGTTATTATTATTTGTGTTGTTTCCACTTTTTGGTTATTATGAATAATTCTGCTATGAACATTCATACAAATTCGTACCAATTATTGTGTGGACATATATGTTCATTTCTCTTGAATACAGACCTAGGTCCTACAGTAGCTCTATGTCTAACAATTTGAGGAACTGTCAGACTGTTTTCCAAAACGGCTGCACCATTTTATTCACACATTTCCACCAGCAGCGTAGGAAGATTCCAATTTCTCCACATCCTCACTAGCATGTGTTACTATCTCTTTTCCGGACTAATGCCATCCTAGTGGTTGTACAGTGGTATCTCATTGTGGTTTTGATTTGCGTTTCCCTAATGACTAATGGCAAGCATCTTTGCACGTGCCTCTTGGCCATTTGTGTAACTTTAACCAAGGATTGTCTATTCATATCCTTTACTGATATTTTAATTGGGTTGTTCGTGATTTTATTATTGAGTTGTAAGTGTTCTTTATATATTTTAGGTATAAGTTCCTTTTCAGTGTATAATTTTTAAGTATTTTCTCCCATTCCATGGGTTGTCTGTTTCCCTCTTGATGGTGTCCTTTGTAGCACAAGTTTTTAATTTTGATTTAGTCTAATTTATCTATTATGGTGATTCTTACTTATGCTTTTGGTGTTATATGTAAGAAATTATTTCCTAATCTAAACCATGAATATTAATGCCTATGTTTTCTTCCAACAGTTTTATAGTGTTAGCTCCTAAATTTAGGTCTTTGATCCCATTTTAAGTTAATTTTTTGTGGTATAAAGTAGTGAATCCGATTTCATTTTTTTGTATGTGAATATCCAGTTGTCCTACACCATTTGTTAAAAAGACTACTCTTTCCCCATTGAATGTTCTTGTCAGCCTTATACAAAATCAACTGACATAGATATATGGGTTTATTTCTAGACTCAATTCTTCTATTTCACTGATGTATATATCTGCCCTAAGCCAGCACCACACTGTCTTGATTACTGGTAGCTTTTTAGTAAGTTTGGAAATCGGGTAGTCTGAGCCTTCCAACTTTGTTCTTTTTCAAGATTGTTTGGGTTATTCTGAGTCCCTTCCATTTTCATGTGAATTTTAGGATCAGCTTGTCAACTTCTACCAAGAAACCACATGAAATTTTGATAGGGATTGCATTCAATCTGTAGACAAATTTGGGAAGTATTGTGTTATTAGTAATAATGTCTTATATCTTTCCATTTATTTAGATCTTCTTTAATTTCTTTAAAAAAATTTTTGTAGTTTTATACCCTTTATTATTATTTTTCGAGACAGGGTCTTGCTATGTTTCCCAGGCTGGTCTTGAACTCCGGCTCAAGCAATCCTCCCACCTCAGCCTCCCGAGTAGCTGGGACTACAGGCATGTATCATCATGTTTGGCAATATCCTCTATTTTTTAAAGCCTTTTTTCTCTTCTGATTAACTGCCTTTGAACTTTAAACCCACTTAACATGGGTCTGTTTCTGTGCACTAATTATACTCCTAACCTGTGTCTATTCCTACACTAATGCTGCACTATTTTGCTCACAAGTTTTGTGTCATGCTTTGACATAGGATGAGGAAAGTCTCTCTACACCTCCAAGAATTTGTTTTTCTAAAAATTTCTTGTCCTTATTATCACATTGTTTCCCACATGAATGTCAGAATGATCTTGAATTCCACAAAAAAGCTCTACTATGATTTTAATTGGAATTGTATTACATGCATGAATTCATTTAAGGGAATGAACATTTTTATAGTACTGAGATTTTCCATTCAGGAATATAATAGGTCTTTTATTCAACTTTTGCTTTATGTGTTTCAATAATGTGTTATATTTTTCTTTATGGCTTCCTATACACTAAAAATAATTTTTTCCTAAGTATTTCTATTATGATGTTATTAAAGGTAGCATTTGGGATACAGGTTCTGAGACTTCTGTGTGGATATCACCAATGTTCTTGTCCTCCTTTTCCAGAAGGTTCTTCCTATTCCTACTGCCCTAAACTGCTCTACCTTAGAGCTTCTATTATTGCCCCACTATATTCAAAGGACCCAAACTTGGTTCACTTTTGTACTGGAAGACAGAGACACTACGATTTCCAAAACTCCGCCCCCTGCCCCGACCAAAAGAAAAGTTTATTAGAAACAAGGCAATGATTATAGATAGTGCTGTCTGCAGAATGGATCTATTAGCTTTACCTGGCTCCCTGGTTCCCGTTGCACACATGGATGAATGGAACATGGTTTTCTTCCCAGAGGCCTGTCTCTCGGGGCACATGCTTTTGGAGACGCCACCTGCACAGTCCCATTGGCTTTTGTCCTCTTGCATGTCACTTGCCGACTGTGGAATCCTTCACCACAAGACACAGAGCACTCTGACCACAGACCTGTGAACCACCTAGGAACAAAAACTACAGGATCTTAGTAAGGACTGGAATGCCAGACCTTACAGGAAGTCTTGTCAAAAGAAAAAGATGCTAACACCACGGCTGTTTCGAGCTGTCACAGGTCGTTACGGACATGAGCAAAAGCATAACTCCCAGCCTTATTCTCAGATTGTTTTTACCCAGGGGAGCAACAGAGTCACCATCTAGGGATGAACAATATGGGAGTGGCGTAGAGCCGTCTGCAGTTTATCAAGAGTCATTACTTAGTGGCCCTAGAGGATAAACCCGGGGCAAAATTAGGTAGAAATTTCAAAAAGGCAGATCTCAAATTCATTGACACCAAAGGGAAGAAAATATTTATCAAGCATCTACGTGCTGCTTGCTCTGCAAGATACTTACATGTTATCTTATGTAATTCTCATAGTATATACGTTCTTGTAGGGAAGAAACTGATATCCAGTGAATTAAATAACTTGGCTATGGTCACATGACAAACCTGCCAACAGAGCTGGGATTGGCTTATAGATTTATTGGACCCTACAGTTCACGCTTTAATGATTGTAGGAGGCTGAATTTGGAGCTGGATACCTTTGAGGTGTTGCGTGCTTTGTCACTGAAGATGTTTGAGCTGCTGCTGGGATACTAACCTGAGGTCCACCATTATCCAAGGGGGACCTTGTACTTGGATGATAAAAGAATTACTTCTTCATTGTCACTAAGAACTAACTGCAATTTAGTGTTTCCTTCATTGTAAAAACATAGAGCCACACACTATAGTGGTATTAGTAATACCTGTGATTTTGTTACCAATAGAAATCACAGGTATGTTTTACACGTCACATTATAATTGTGGCAGGTATCCGAAAGTATTTATATCCATTACCATTTCAGAATTAAAGTACAATTATACCTTGTTATTGGGTGTGTTAATTGAGAAGCAAATCTATTATTGTGTAACACATTTTAAAGTACTTCAATATGATTGGTTTCTTTAGTAACCAAACATATTTTATTTTATATATTTAAAAATCTTGTTCTGAGAAGGTATCCATAGGCTTCTCCAGACTACTGGAGGGGACCATGACACAGGCATGTTAAGGACCCTTGACGTGGAGCAATCTAGGATCAGAGGATCTCTGTGGTCTCTCCTAGGTATGAAAGTGAATGACTCTGCTTGTTCTAGGGGTGTGCAAAGGCTTGTGAGTACTTAAGACACAAGTCCGCTGGTAAATTCCCCAACGTGGATTCTCTTCATTTTGTGAAAATCAAGAATTGACATAAAGCCACTTCCTTGTATTTTGTTACCCCTAGTTATTATCGCATATGCCTGCTGCTTTCCGCAATTTAGTCCTTAGCATGAGATCTTCCTTTTAAGAATGACATTGGGTACTGGAAGACATGTCACTGGCTGCCCGCAATATTGATAGTCCTTCTAAAAACATGCCTCAAGGCGAATGTCTTGTTTTACAGTGTGACCCCGCCCACCACTCTCCCCCAAGGCACAGGTAGTTGGATCTAGTGTGGGCATCTGCACAGGGCAGTGAGCTGTACAATATTAAGCATTCCTCCACTTTCTCATCAGTGAAATGAGGTTGATAATACTATCTGCCTCATAGGTTTGCACTCCATAAATGCCCCGTTTTAATTTTTTAATGTGGATTTTGGTGCCATTTGGTCTATTATCTGCTATAGTCTGTGCTCAGATCAGATAAGCAGGGTGAGGGAGATAAGCCCTGAGACAGCAAGATCGCCCAAGGCCTCCAAATGAAGGGACTTCAACTCCTTTACTCATTTTAGTCAGTAAGTAAATATTTACTGGTCACCTACTATGTGCTTAGCACTCTCTTAAAACACTGGGGATAAAGAGACGTACAAGACAGACACAGCCCCAACACTAGGGAGTTTAGCCTTTGTCCTAAGCAATGAGAAGTCATTGATGGGTGTTAAGCAGAGGACCACCATGACGAATTTGTTTTAAAAGATCATTATTCTTAGAGAGTGGACAAAGTACTCTAGGGAGGGAGACAGGAATCAGGAGGCTCCTGGAGCAGTCAGAGTGAGAGACAGTGATGGCTTGGAACAGCAGACTTTGACAAGCATGGATGGAAGCGAGAGAAGAAGGGAGTCTAGGATGTGGTCATTGAATCTGGAATATTGGGGAGGGATTAGGTTTGGTGGAGATCATTTGTTTTATTTTGGACATCTTAAAATTACAGGTTTGTATCATCTGTTACTTAGAAAAGTTATTAATGGTTTTACCTCCCGGGCCGAGTCTGGGGAACTGTGTGTTTTTAACTAGTGCCTCTGGTGATCCTGCCCCACTGCACCGTCTTCTAAGTCAACCTGTGAGACCAGCCTCGCCAAGATCTCAAGGGACCGATAGCACCGTGAGTGCAGGAAGCAGACCTGGGGGTGATTCAGAGCAGGGGCTTCGCAATCAGACTGTCCCAATCTGAATTCTGGCCCTTGTAGCTATATGGCCTGGGGGGTTCCCCACGGTAAAACGGGAAATTAACAACATCTGCCTTGTAGGCGATTGTAAAGTGATCCATGTAAAGCACTGAGCAGGATGTCTGGTACACAGTAAGCGCTAAACAAATCTTGGCTATTGAGTTATTATGTCCAAATTACTGTGCCGTTTAAAATAAGCAAACACTTGGTGTTGGTGAGACAAGAAGAGTGACTTGCGTACCTTGCAGGGCAGTCCCGGATGTTACAGGGCTGAAACCCAGCCAGTGGCTTCTGGAGGTGATCGCAGAGGGTCTCACTCACTTCCTGCCCGTTGGCCATCACACACTGGGGTCTCTGAACTCGGGCTCCCAAGTGGCCACAGGTGGCAGAACAATGTGACCAGTTACCAGGCTCCCAAAAAGGCTCTGTAGAAAGAAAATGAAATGTCATGACAGCCCCAAATGAGAAATGATGACGGGCTGGAGAGGACATGGCCAGAGACCACCATGACCTGTTTTCTGGTGAGCCGCCTCTCTGGGTCGTTCAGCAGCACACAGAGAGAAAGCCATCGCATGTGCAAGGGGGTCCTTGAAATCTTATTTTCCCTCAACTAAGTTATTGTAATAAATGGCAGGAGTGGTAGCCAGAATGGGATCCTTGGACCACAGCCTGGGAGAGGGGCTATTGCAGGCCAGCTGATCTGCCAGAAAAATCCTAGAGAGAGGGAGGAGGCACTGGAGCAGGGGCTGCCTCGCCGGCATTCTCCAGGCAGAGCAGACAGGACAGGAGAGGAGGGCCTCTCCAGGGGGTGCTCTGACGGGTTTGATTTCTCAAAAGCAGATCAGGTGGAGAAATGAAAGATGATTTAGCAGGAGAAACGGGAACCAGGGATCAAGCAGTAAGGTTAAAGACACCTTCGAGTTCCATTCTTATTTTTCCATTAATACTTAATCGAAACTTCAGATTGGTCCTGAAACTGCATAAATGATTTGTCATGGAGACATCTGGAAAGGTAAAAATGGGAGTTGCCTTTAGAAAAGTGGAAGCTGACCACCTCCAGTAATCCCGGCTTTTCTGTTTTAGTGTCCGTTCCAAGCAGCCTTTCTTTTCCCCGCTGACACTCGGTAAGAGATGAGGTAGGATGTGACGATGACGGATTTGTGTACGATCGCAGAAGGCGCCAGATTTCCCTGTAATAATCACAAGTAATTGATGGCCGCCAGCTGTGTCCACAGGCTCCCTCACACCGCAGAGCCACCTCTTTAACTTATTGTTTTCCAGTTTTTCCTTCTGACTTTTGAATTTTTGTCTTAAATTGCACATGGCAACATTTGAAAAGCAGAAACATAAAACACATTTTACGTTGTATTTTGCGTACAGCCTTAGTTATATCCAACTAAGGACCTTCAGGGTTACAGTTTACTTAAAAATAAGTTTTTAAAATAGCTACGTTTATTGAGAACCTCCCAGGTGACAAAAGTACTGGGTGAGACACTGTATAATCAGTTTTTCATTTAATCTTTATGGTCATCCTGTGAAGTAGATATTTTTATTTGCAGAGGTGGAAACTGAATGAAGCTAAGTAACCTGCCCAAGGTCCATCTCCGTTATGCCAAATTTCACAAACACCCCTTGACAGTTTGAGGCAGGACACGTGTACATTTCTTTAAAAATGTGTGTTTTTATTGAGGTATAATTCATATACAATAAAATGCTCACATCTAAGGTGTGGAGTTTCACGAGTTTTCGCAATTACTTTGTGACCATGATCCGAAGCCAGGTACGTAACATTGTCATCACACCCCGCCTGCCCCCTCCCAGGCAAGCACTCATTCACTCCATCAGTAACATCGGTTGTACCTGTTCTCAGACTTCACGCAGGATGTGCTCTTTTTCACTTGGCTTCTTTTGCTCGGCATAATGTTTCTGAGATTTACCCGTATCACAGTTCATATCCGCAGTCATCTCTTCTATTGCTGAATGACGTTCCCTTGTGTGCCTATACCATAGTTTTTAGCCATTCTCCCACTGAGGGCCACTATGAATACGGCTGAACATTCTTGTATAAAGCGTTTTGTCAACAAGTTTTTATTTTTTCCCAGGTAAATACCTGTGAGTGGAATTGCTAGGTTAAGGGTAGGTATATGCTGAACTTTATATTAGAAAATGCCAAACCGTTTTCCAAAGTGGTTTCACCATTTTACACACTAAGCAATTCATGAGAGTCCTAGCTGCTTCACATTCTTGCCAAAATTTGGCACCGTCAGTCTTTTTGTTTTTATTAATAACTACTCTACTGGGCGTGCAATTGTGTCTCATTGAGGTTTTAATTTCCACTTCCTTGATGCCATCTGTATATCTTCTTTTGTGAAGTGTCTGTTCAAGTTTTTTGCCCACTGTTTGTGTCTATGTGTGTGTGTGTGTGTATGTTTTCTGTTAATTTGTACGAGTTCTTTACATATTGTAGACTAAGCTGTTCACCAAACATGTTCTGCCAGTATTTTCCCCAATCAACAGCTCATCTATTCATATTCTTAATGGTGTCTTTAATGAACAGATCTTTAAAATTTTGATGAAGTCCAGTTTAATAACCTTTTTGTTGTATGGTTAGTGTTTTCTGACACATGCATTTGAAAAGTAGATCGTATCATATCACTCCCATATGAGACTCCTCAATGGCCTCCCATGTTTTAGGAATAAACTCTTGAGTCTTTACCTTCGTCCTCAGAGCCCTGAATGATTTGCTCCCCCGGCAACTCTCCAACCTCATCTCAAGCCCCTCCTCCCTCCCCCACTGTCCCCTAATCACATGAATCTCACTTGTGTTCCTCGACAGCATTAAGCTTATTTCCATTTTACAGTCTTTGCACTCACGATTCCCTTTGCCAGAAATGCTCCTTCCTCATCTTTCTGCATGAACGGTTCCATCTCATCCTTGAGATCTGGGATCAAACATCACCTCCTCAGAAAGCCCATCCCAAGGAGGCCATAGGACTGGCTCCCTCTGATCACCATGCATTTCATGGCACTTACCACAGAGAAATGTCCTATACATTTAGATGTTCACTTATTTTTTGTCCATCTCACCTATTGGAATGTCAGAATGTGGAGCCCATAAACACTCTCCTGTTCGACACTAGGACAGGGCATGTTAAACATTAGCAATTCAACCAATATTTGTCAAATTAATAAATGAGCCTCTTCGAAATGCTGAGCTAAGGATCCACTTAGCTTAGGGTTGGCATATTCCACAGTGTGTAAGCATATGTCTGTGCACATGTGTGTGTATGTGCGCGTGTAGGAGGCAGCAGGACAATGTAGGTACTTCCAATAAGTCAGGAGTTTGACTATTCCAAAGGCTCTGCCTTCTCCAGTAGTTCCAGCCTCACATATATGCAGTTTTTTCCATTAATTGATTTGCGGGAGGAGTTCTTTTGATCTTCATGCTCCATGCCACATGCGACTGGTCTGTGCCTTTGCACATCTGCTTTTTTCTGACTGGGATACCCTTCCTCTCCTCAGAACAAACATCATGACCTCCATGAAAATTTAGTTGACTTCTCCAGAGGGAGGAGGGCCTCTTCCTTGGTGTGACCATTCTACTTTAGTCATCTTTCTATTATGGCATGTGTCACACTGCTTCAAAATATCTGTCCCCATGACCGCCTCCCCCCAGACTGTGAGCTTCTCTAGGAGTAGGTCGCCTCTGCATCCCCAGCCCTGAGAATAGTTAAGCCCTGGGCTGTCCAATGAATGGGTAATTATGCATGGGATAACAGTAGTAGTATGTCCAAAAGAGGAGAAAAACATATCAGACAAATAACCTGAGATAATTATGTTATAAATGACATGTGATGGGTTACTGATTGGCAGTTCAACACTGTTTCCTTCTGTGCTTTCCCTTGTATCCCGGCGGGAGAAGCCTAGAAACTTCATTCTCTAGAGTGCCCACCTGTGGAGTTATGTTCTGCAAACAAGAGGCACCACTCAAGATGTAAAAGGTGGCACCGATGTAGCCATTATTATTCTGTGTAACAGAGTAAAACATCAGGTTTATTGGTAGTTTCTTAGTGTCATCCTATGATTTACTCACTTTTGAGTTACAGGGAGCTGAAAGCATCAGTAATGATTTCCTATGATTCTAGCATTTCTGGTTTTCATAACTCTACATTGCTGCCTTGGCCTTCTGAAGAGTTTTGCAAGCTTGTAATACCTAGAGTAGGTTCTCTTGATGAAGCACCAATACATCACAAAGTTGCTATGTATGGAAAAAAGATTTTGTGAAAAGAGAACAATGAAAGAATCAACTCAGTGCTCTTAGCAAACTCTCCGTCTATTAATATCTACCAAGTCGGCAATAGTTTTGAAACTGGAAAATCAATATCTACATTATCACAAATAATGACCCACATTTGGGAAATGAACTCTACGGGCTGCCTCAGGATTTTTCTACAAAATTCCTTCAGTATGGAAGGAATAAGTTGAACTACCAAAGACTGAGGAACAAGAAAAAAGCTGGCCGAATGCCTAGGAATGATTTCACATGCTGCCAAGTGAAAAACACGTAGGGTCTCTAGCTAAATCCTTTTCCTTACACATGCTCACAACAGCAAATCTCGAAAAGTCAAAATCCCAGACCTCGAGGCAGGGCTTCTCCTGTGGGGTCACTGCTATTGGTCCCAGTGCTGGATGCCTTGAGAACACGCTTTTTATGTCCCTTGAGAAATACAGCTTTACTCTCTGGCCATCTTTGTTCTGAGGAGAAAAAAAAAAGTAAGACTTTTTACCAGTTAGAAATGATCTAATTCTTGTTCCAGCGTGGGTGTTCTTAAAGACAGCTACCAGGGGATAAGCCCTTCCTAATAACGCTGCGTCCTAGATGCTCAGGCGTGCATGGGTCTGGGAGGGATGTGTTGGGGGTGTCACAGTTTAGTTAGAGTTACTCCCTGTGCTGACATGTGGCACCTCTTCATATCCCAGCATTTATAGCCTAGCTCAAAAGATGAAAAACATGTATTCACCAGAATTCCAAAAGGGACTGGAGGAGGCAGACTGGTTGGACAGAGGAGCCTTGGGGGCAGGAGAGTGCTCCCCAGGGGACCTCACGTGCTGAGGAGTGCAGGACTCTGGGAGGGTTGTGAAGCTTGAGCGTAAGAGCCGAGGGCGGAGGAGGAATGCTCAGTCAAATCAGGAATGCTGTGACTCCATCCCTCCGTCAAGTTACCATGGTCATGCAGCTAGGCTCGGGGGGACTCCTGAAAGAAGAGATGTGCAGTAGGAGCGAGACGATCACGTGGATTCGCGGATGGAGACAGGCAGAAGCAAGGAGTGGGATGGACTTTTCAGAGAGCAGGGGAGTCACGTAAGAATCCGGCGGGTTAGCCTGGCCCATCTATCAGAACTCCCCCATTCCAAGATCTGAGACCACTGGGGCTCTTGGGAAGCGCCACGTGGCAGTACGTCCCTGCCTGTCTGGTCAGCCCCGAGAGACTGGGAGGGTTGTATGAGGAGCAGACCACGTATGTGAGCACTAGTCCCAACTCTCTGTGAGCCTCAGGGTTCCTCATAAATACAAGGGATTAAAAATTGCTGCCCACAGCACAGTGTTGTAAGTATCACAAGAATTAATGAACATCAAAGCACTTTGTGCATGACAACTGTTCCAACTCCCTGTGTGGGCACCCCCATCGCTGTTTCTCTGGGCCCCTCTAACTGCTGACAAGCAAAGCCATGGAGGAAGCTCTTTCGCACCCTCTCCTGTTGGTTCAGCCAGAGAGGCTATAATCTCACAGTAGTTCTCCAATGATTCAACTTCATTCATTTGTGAAACACCCATTTACACACTTACACCTGTGTTAGACGCTGGGGCTACAGAGGGGAATAATAAATGATTTCTGATGTCCATCTATGATTAACTCTCGACTGATTCCAAACTCTGGTGGGAAATAGGGGTGTTACTGAATGAGTCCTAAAACCCCAGCAACTTGAAGCTCATTTTAATGGTCAGAGCTTGATGAATGCCAGATATTAACCCCAGTAGAGAGAAGTCAGCTGATTATCCTGTGCCGGGACCTTCTCCAAATTGCAAACCTGATCCAGCTGAAAAGTATTTTAAGACTTGATAGATCGGTATTCATGGGGTTCCTACTGTGTGCCTCATACTGTATTATGTCCTCAGGACTGCAAAAGAAATGTCAGACACAGTCCCTGCCTTCGAGGGACCTACAATTTCATTGAGGAAACAGAAATAAAAAAGGAAGCAATTTGAGAGCAATGTGTGTGAGGACTTAATCAAGTACCAAGTAGTGAGACCAGAGACAGGAGAGTTCAAACAAAATCTGAGACGGATTCGCACGGGAGGTAGGAATTCAGCCAGTTCTATAAGACATAGGGATTTGGGCAAAGTGGGAAAAACAGTGATGGACAGTCCTTCCTGGGAGACCAAAGAGGAAGCAGCATGACATGTGCACGGATCATGGGGCAGGGAACTATCCTGGCTAGAACAAAGCTCAGTGCTGGCTCACAAGAGGAGTAAGAAATAGAGCCGACACAGAGGAAGACCACAAAGGGTCTGGTTCCGGGCAGAAGAGCTCATACCCCAGTAGAAGTTCTTAAGCAGAGGAGTAGCATCAAAAACATCACAGCTTCGAAGAGAAGAACTGGCAAGACAGGGTGTTAGGATTTGGTGCTTGCTTTTAAGTAGGCAGTAGTAGCAATAGCTAGAACCATCTAATGTCCATCCTGTTCGCTCCTTCACTCTGAATCAGCAAAACTGCGCCCTACTTTATATATATTATATATAGGAAGCACGTAAGGAACAGTAAGAATTTTACACTCACCCAGCAAGTGGAGAACAGATGTTGCCATTGCCTTTCCAAGAGCATTGGTGGCTGTGCAGATGTAGGTTCCTTCATTTTCAAGGGAAATGTTCTGCAACAACAGGGATCCATTGAGAAGCAAGGAAACACTGTCACTCAGAGATCCTCCTCTCTTCAACCAAGTTACATTAGGCTGAGGGACACCTTCAGAACAAAAAAAATATGACACAGGCAATTCCTTTAATAACAGGGCCACAGAACCATGGGACAAATACCATTTAGTGTTTTGACCCCAAGTCAGCAAACGGTTGAATCGCATGCAATAGGAAACATTCTATTTCCACAGCTCCTCTCCGGCAGGTAGGGTATCCTGTTAAAGCGAAGGGCTTTGGTCTGCGGAGCAGCTGACTGGCTCACGTGCACACGTTGAGGAACCGGAGCCAAGGACAGTGGGACTGCTCGGTATGGGGAAGGGAGGGCATTCTGAAGTTGGGTGAGCTCGTGGGAGAAAGGCTGGAAGGGAGGAGCTGGTGAAGCTGGGGGATGTGGAGGCAGAATCAGAGAGAGAAATTCCCAGGGGTGGGCTGTTACAAAGAAGTCTTCAGAAAATTAAAATATCTGATATAGATCTCCAAGTTGTTCGCTGCATATATGCAATGAAACATTCCTCCTTTAGCAGGAATATACAATCTTCAGGGAAACAAATTTTCTTCATTAATGTTTTTGTAAAAGAGGATGATTTCATTAAACCAGTGAAGGTGATATAAAAGTTTTTTTAAAAAAAGGATAATTTTAGGGAACGAAGGAAATGTTGAGTTTCAAGTCTGGATGGATGCAGGGAGGTGCGGAGACTGTCAGCAATGTTGCAGGAGCCTGGACACAGGGGGCACAAGGAAGGGAAAGAATCTCTTCACCCACATCTTGGGAAGCCCCAGCATCTTGCCGGGCTGTGGAATTTGAGACTCAGAGAACTCTAATTTGGTTCTGAGGTGGCCTCAGACGACGCCTGAGATTGCTCCGGGTGACTGGTTTTGAGGATCTTTCTCCTCCTGCAGGGTTCTGGGTAGAGAGAATGTGGAAGACATTGCGTGACTTTCTGACGAAACAAAGACGTCACCGCTATTATCCCATCACGTACGACACACCTTACAGTAGGCAGCGTGTGTGTACCGTGAACACGGTGATGCTTTAGTCCTCACAGTCGTCCCTGTTCCCTGGGAGGCAGGCACTGCTCGCTCGGTCTCACAGCTGAGGACACTGGTAAGACTCGACTTCAGGTCAAGGTTTTCTGTCCACTACACCAAGTCTCTTTATTTATTAGTTCTGCAGCCTTGAACAAGGAATTTAGGTTTCAACTGTCTCATCTGCCAAAGAAATCCGAACCAAGAAAAGGAACTCCATTATGTTCATACATAATCTTTAAGGTTTTTAAAATCTGAGTCCAAGATGTTTGTCCTTGGGGCCTTTTGTCCTTAATTCTGTGGCTCTGTAGGATCTGAGAGTGGTAGGCAGAGTTCTAAAGACGTCTTTCCAAGGTTATGCTTGTCCTCTGGTTACGCAACCAAATGTTAATCTAGGCACTGGTGTGAAGGGAAATCTGCAGATGCCATTAAGGTTACTAATCAGCTCACCCATAAATGGGGAGGCCGTCTGGGTGGGCCCAGTGTGAGTCCTTAAAATCAGAAGAGGAGGGCGGGAGAAAGGGTAAGAGAGGGGTGGAGAAAGAGAACGTAGGAGAGATGAGCTCAGAGAGACTCAACATGTGAGAGGGACATGACACAGCACTGCTAATTTTGAAGGCAAAAGGGGCCATGAGCCAGGGGGTGCAGGTGGTCTCCAGCTGACAGCTGTCAAGGAGATGAGAGCTTCAGTCCTACAATGACAGGGGCTCAGTTCAGCCAATAACTTGGAAGCAGATTTATCCCCAGGCCCTCCAAAGAGGCCTGCAGGCTTGCCCACACCTTGATCTCAGCCTTTGATCCTCTAAGTAGGACACTCAGCTGAGCCACAATCTACACAACTGTGAGATAATAAATGGACGCTATTTTAACCCTCTAAATTTGTGGTAATTTGTTAAAGCAGCAATTGAAAACTAATACAGTGAGGGATTTAGTTTAAATTTTGTTACAATAACTAGGCTGGCCCTAAATAGCCAGAGGGATGCTAATGCATATGCATACATATTTTTAGTCTTTGCTTTTACAAATATATACATACAGATAGGTTAAGCTTTCCTAAGTCACAGCTATTGAGAACATTGGGGCTGAGATTTACCCCAATGCAGTTTGATCCAAAATCTCTCTTGACCACATGTAGGTAGACTTTATACATTTCTTAATAAATTTACTCTTCAGTGTCTTATGGTTTTTTTGTTTTAAAAATAAATTTTTTGTTTTTTTGAGATAGAGTCTCACTCTGTCGCCCTGGGCTAGAGTGCCGTGGCGTCATCATAGCTCACAGCAACCTCAAACTCCTGGGCTCAAGCGATCCTCCTGCCTCAGCCTCCCGAGTAGCTGGGACAGGCGTGTGCCATGATGCCCGGCTGATTTTTCTAGTTTTAGTAGAGACAGGGTCTCGCTCTTGCTCAGGCTGGTCTCAAACTCCTGACCTCAAGTGATCTTCCTGCCTCAGCCTCCCAGAGTGCTAGGATTACAGGCACGAGCCACCGCGCCTGGCCTGAAAATAAATTTTGTGGTTTTTTATTGCTAACACTTGGGAAAGATATAAACATTTGCATATTTATCTTATACCTTGTATCTTGCAGAACTTTATTATTGTGAATAGTTTTTCAATTGATTTTCTTGTTTTAATAAACCAAATGTGTGATCTAATAACATATGTATGTCATTGCTAATGCATGAAATTCAAAATCTAGCATTGGGTCCAATAATTACCATAATTTTGCAGTAGTGGTGGCATTAAAGATATTTTGAGGTATCTGTTCATATTTGTAATACGATATGAAAATAACTGTGAGTTCTACTGGTGCAAAGTCAAAGATGCTGCTACCTTCATTTGTTGCTTCCATTCATAATTGATAGAAATGAGAAATTTGACTATGCTTTGGCCACTGCAGCCCACGTGGCTGGCTCTGCTGGCTTCCCCTGAGCTCAGGACAGACTCCCAAACCCCTCTGCAGCTCAGCTAACCAGAAGTGTGAGCCTCAGGGAATTCTGCAGGGGAAATGGCTCCGACACCGGGGCTTCTGCAGACACTCCCCGCCTCAGCAGTTGTGAAACGCAGAGCTGAGCTGGTGAGGACTGCAGGTGACCCCGGTAGTCTGGAAGGCTGGTGCTCATCTTGCAGAACTCATTGCCCGGCAGAATGGGAAAAAAAAAAAAAAACAGACCCAAAACTAAAACTCCCCCAAAGGGGTTTTCAATGAGTCCATTTTGGGCGTGAGCTGTTCTGATGTTCTTGCTGTGTCCTGGTTGCTTTAAGTCCTCACGCCTTTGCTTATGTCACTAGGCGCAGGGGTAGCGTAAATGCTGCTCAGACTCCCCGTGCCTTTAAGTCATCAAGAATTCATCAACCCCGCAAGTATTTGCAAGTGCCCACTGTGAGCTGGCACTGTGCTCGGTGTGGGGGTCGCAGCTTTGCTGGAACGATAAACACCAGCGCCCCCACCTTTCAGCTCCCAGTAGAGCCAGGGAGAGTGGGCCTCCTCTCGGGAGCCTCCTCCTTCTCCAGCGACCTAAGATGATGCACTCCAGGGGCCTCCGACTCAGCACAAAGCCTCAGGTGAAAACCAGCAAGATTCAGCTGAGGAGTCCCAGAGCAGCGCCTTGTACACGGGGATCTTGTTAAAGTAAACCCAGCAGAACAAACCAAAGGTCAGCGAAGTTGTTGGACTCTGTATAGCCCCAGCTGTCTTCTAAAGAGGGTGACTCCTTGTGCTTTAGAGCATCTTGGAGGGTCTGGACACATGCACTGTAGCAAGAGCTGTACCATGGGAGAGAAGAATTTGGAGTTCCTATGGCAACCCAAGAGGCTGGGGGTGCGCAGTGGAGGACAGGGAGCAGGGGGAGCTGGGTAATTGGGTGCCTTTGCCACAATCCCCAAACTGCCAGCCTTGTTTACTAAGTTTGCTGAATGTTTGGTATTAACGGATGCCTTGCTATGAGTGGAAAGCAGGTAGGGGCTGCACTCTGCTTCCTGGGTGACGGTGGGCAGAGGGGAGACCACATAGCTGAATGCAGGGGCGGGAGGCAAGAGGGCACAGGCCAGCACAAGCCCCCGGGACTGTCAGAAGCCAACTCTGGGGAGCTCTGGAGCGTCCAAACTCTGGAACTCACAGGAGTCAGAGACAATTACACTTTACCTAGATCTCAGGATGGCAAGGGTGTGATTGAATTTATGCAGACAATGATTCTACAGATACAAGGAATTTCAGAAAACAAAATATGGCAATATTTTAAACGTACAAGCAGAGACAAAGGTCTCCGGTGCTGAGGGAAGACGTTGACGCCGGGACTCGGCACCCAGAGGCGTTGCTAACGTGTGAGCATTTCCAGAGAACTAAAGAGGCCACAGGAAGTTCAGACAGGCCTCTTCATACCACGGCTCCTCACCGTCTTTCAAAACAACAAATGTTTGCTCTGTTGAAACAGCTATAAAATGTCAGAAATAGTTTAAACTTATTTATCTAACCTTAAAGACAGGATATTTCCCCCAAGACTTACAGCTCTAAAATATTCAGTGTTCTCTTTCCACAATGCTGAAATCGTTTTTGGAAGACAAACGTTGTGGGGAAAAGTTCAGATCTGGAGGGGCTGTGAAACATGTGTTGCAAAAAGCCTGGACCTCTGGGGTGTCTTTAAAACACTCCGTGTTTAAAAACAAATTTCCTTCATCCTTGAAGGGCCCATGAAATATTCCACACTATAGAATCCTTGGCCTATTCAGACAGCTCTAAAATGCTGGATCTTTATATAAATATTTACCATACCTTTATAATTTTGCTCATTTGTTTCCTCCAGCTACTCAACATTCACACAATCTTCTGCATTTTTTTTCACCTATGACAAATGAAAGTTTAAGCTACCACCAGTGACCTCCAGGGAATCAAGAAGAAATGATGCTGCCAATTCACAGGAGGTAAATTGAACACAGTGTACGCAAACCACGGAGGGAGTTGTCACTAATAAACGAAACAAATAAACAAGAGTTTAAGGGTTCAGTGCCAGAGAAAATATCTGAAAGCT